CATACTTTCCGCTCCCTCAGCGCCCGACACCCCCCACACCCCCCCTTTCCCGCTCCCTCAGCGCCCCTCTTCCCTCCGCGCCACCCCCACGAGTGTTTTCCCCACAGATTTGAGCGAGGCAGGCCAGGGTGGACGAGCATCTTAGGAAGTTTCCCACGAAACGTGCGTGAATCGCTCAGGAGCATAAAGCGATCCGCTCCATGAGGGGGTGGCTTGCGGGTTTGGGTTGTTTTTTTTTTTTTATAGCAGTCGCAGGACAGGTTGCGGGAGTGCTTGGAGAGGAACGCGGCAGGTCTGTTTGATCGTTAACTGGTTGTTTTCGCCATGAGGCAACGTGTGGCCCAGCAGACCCCTCCCTGGCTGTCCCCACTCCAGCCAGCTCTGATAAGTCACTTCCCAGGAAAGCGAGCAGGAATGACTCAGACACTTACAGTGCTGCCTAATAAGTGTAAAATAAATCCTGAGGTAAGGTCGTGAGCAGCTATGAAGTTGTGGAATAATTGGAAGAACGTGGGTTTCTTTTAAGGACACCCGATTTATTCCAACTGCTGTATTTAGCCTTGAGTAAATTTAATTTCATATTAGAAGATTGTTTTGAAGAGTAGCTCACTTTCTGTGGGCAAGAAACTGCTTTTTCTTCCCTAAATGAGTCCAGGATTTAAAATGAGTAGTAAATCGTCAACAGTAAATGAAAGTGGTACTAAACTTAGATTTCAGCAGCTTTGTACTAAGGTAGGAAATTTATACGGTTAACAGTAGGAATTTTTTTTGGTTTATGATGCATAATCCTAGGCCTAGTCTCATGGCCCGTATTCATACACTAGGATAAGTAATTTCAGTGATATTAGTCACCTGAGTACAACTTGAAAGAACAGCTTTCTAGTCTGAGCTGTTACTCAAGCAGATGGTCAGTGACTGAGGCAAAGTTATTTTGCTCAACAGTAAACTGTCTAGTGGATTAACACATTTTGTATGTCTCACCCCTCTGGTTATACATAATGCCACCGTGCTAAAAAATACCATACCGTATGTTTGGTACAGTTAACTGTTTATTACAGAACACTGAACGGTTTTATCCAGCACTAACATACTAGCAGATCTACATTTACAGATCAAAATTTTAAAATAGCCCAACTATCAAATGAATGAGGTTGTTGTCTAATAGTGTATGAAGCCAAGCCATATCCAGATAGAAATACACTGAATTTCTAGAATTGAAAGTGCTTCAATTATCAATTTCTTAAGGGATTGCAAAGCCAAAGCTCTTAAAACTATTCTTTCAGTCATAGTCTGATTTAAAAGAACTTTCTGTGTGCTGTATTTTCCATCCGTGACTTTCAAGTGAGATCTCTCATTTCCTGGTTAGAAATTTTTTTCAAACTGTTGATCTGGAAATATTTATTTGGGATCCAAGCATTATATTGTTCCCGTAAACCTCTTTACACAAACTACAATAAGAGGATTTTGTAGGCTATATTTGTTTTGGCCATCTTAAAATACTTCATTCCTTTCCATAATGTTTATGAAATACTGTACTGAAAAACTGGATTATCCTAGGAAAACCCATCTTAAAAACATTGACTTTTGGAAAAAGGACTGTGGGTCCATTTGGAGGGACATATGTGCACTCAATCTACAGTAAGATAGCCAAGCACGTACATCTAGTGAGCTAACCAAATGAAAACAATTTGAATGTTTGTTTAGAGTAGCTATATTCTGCTGATACCCAAGAAAGAAGTCTGATAGTGATATTCCTTTTAATTTAGTGACTGTGCTGTTGAAAATCTTGATCCCTTTTTGGCAAAGACACTAGCTCTTGTACAGCTGATTTGTTTTATTTAGAAAGCTTGCACATAAAGTAGGTGGGAAACAATAGCTAGAAATAGACTGCTCGGATGAAAGTGAAGGGTATGATTTGGTCTGGCAGTTAAGGCATGAGGATTAAGTCAAGTGTGCCTGATTCTGCTTGTTGTGCTGTCAAACTAAAACTCAATTAGACATTAACATCCCTTTGATGAGAATTTATACAAGCTGGGGTTTTGGGGTTTTTTTTCTGCAAATGTGCTTTTCATAGTGGAATTACATTTTAAATTTCTTCTGAGATATTAATTTCTTAACTAATGTAATTAAAAGCCTTGATTATGAATATAATTGCATCTCTTCATATCCAGAGATGCTAAAATTGAGTGGAGGCTTATTTTAGAAACAAACAACGCAAACCAACCTATATCTTATTTCACTTTGTCTAAATCCTCTGTCAAAACATTACAGGTTCTGATAGTTTTTTATGGGTTTTTTTATGGCTTGTCAGCATGACAGAATAATGAGGAGAAAATACTTTTAAGTTAAAATGTTCTTAGTCCAAATAAATACACTAAACAGAAGTGCCTTGTTTGGGGGACAAAGCATTCTATACAATGCAACAAAAATACTTAAAGCTAGGGTTACTTTAAAGCTATTACAGTGCCTCACCTTAGTCATGCTTTCCGTTCACAGCGGCACTGGACTAGCATGGAGCCTGCTGAAGTAAGATCAGCACCTTTTTTTTCCTTTTAGGTGAGAGCTGAGGTCTCCTATGCTTGAGGAGGTATTGTGGAGGCAAAATGGCTGTTAAATAGCCAGAAATATCAGCAAGGCTAAATTAGTTGGTGTCACTAAGTCAGTCTTTGTCACAGAGAGAGTCCTCAGGTTTGGAACTGGCAGGAGCCACACAGAGCCCTGATTCATGAAGTCAATACTCTGAGATGCATGATACAGTTTTACCCTTGCTTGCAAAATTAAGTCTCACTCTATGCCTAGGGTTTGGAGAAGTCTGCTTTTGGTCTTCAAACACAAGATCTAGAACCTTATTTCCATTTTAAAAAGGAAGTTTAGAATCTGTTGCCATCAATGCCTGAGGCACTGAGCATAGACACATTGTGCTGGTGTGTTATTCCACTCCTGCTGTAAACACTAGCATGTATTTTAGCATTCTCTATTATCACAGTAAATATACAGTGACTCTTTGCAGGGCAGGATGACACGTCTGAAGACTCCGAGGAATGTAATCACAGTTGTTTTCCTCTTTAGATGATTTTAAGCCAGCATCGCTTGATACAGCTTGTGAGGGGGACCTCTACGTGGGTAAAGGAGAAGATGTAACAATCACTTTGCCACATATTCCAGTAAGTTTGTTATGTATGTGTCCTTGTTTACTCCAACAAATTTGCGATGTAGTTGCAGCCTCATGTAAATGTTAGTTTCACTTTCATCTTTGTTAACACAAGTGGGTTCAATATTTGAGTTTGAGCAGCCAGACTTGTAGCACCACCTCAGGAAAGGACTGTGCAGTTGAATCTTTGTAAAGGGTTATATTTTTATGGTTCCAGTCTGTTCTTTACTTTTGATTCCTTCCTTCCTACTCTTCCTTGAATAACAAGAAGACTTTTACTGTTAGCTGAAGCTCTGTGCCTGGTTTCCATCTATTTTTAGTGCTATGGCTTAAGGAAGAAAGGCAGAGTAATTTGGGCTATAGTCAAGATTCGATGCTTAGAAGCCACAGGTTGGCCTGTAAGCATGTTGTTCCCATTACTAAAACATGTAAAGATCATAGAGGGTTCCCTGCCGTTAGCTTCATCAGTGGAAGCAAGAGGGGCGGTTCTGGTGAGTGGCAATGAAGTGGTTTCCCATCCACTTCCTCCTCAAATGATGCCATAAAGATCTACTGTGTGAGGATGATGGTCAAACAGCAATAAAACAAGTGATCAAACTTTATAGGTGCAGCTGTTTTGTAATTGAAGATTCCGTAGTTTCCTTACCAGAAGAAAAGAAAGTGCTTGCATGCTGTAACTGGATTTGTTTATTAGCTAAAGTTAATGCTATGTGTCAAGCCAATAAACCAGAATTCACAGACATCGATGGGTTTAGTGGTTTCAGGGGGACAGCAGTCAGTTTGGGAGCTGTGTCAGATCCTTTTGATATTGTTTATTCTGGCACATTAGTTGGTAGGTGATGATACTGTGATAATTCTCGCTGAATGAGGCTTTAGCCTGCTTCCCCCCCCACTCCTGTTTCTTATGGCTTTGGTCACCTTTAGTGCTGCAGAAGGTCGCAATAGTGGTTTTTGTGTATAAAAACGATGAGCGTGGTAGTGCAATTTGAAAGCAGGTGACAATAGGATTAGTAGCCATGGCATTCATCTTGGATTGACTGAGAACAGTGTTCCTTCGTCTTTTTGTGTTGAACAACAAATCTCTGTACTGATGAGTTTAATTTGATTGTCTTCCCATGAGTATGAGCAGTTTTAAGCTCCTAGTATGCTTTGGAGGCTTCGGCAGCTAACCTCACTGAATGCAGCCACTGTGCGTGCGTTGTTCCAAGGCAGTGCTGCCTGTGGTCCAGACAGAGAGCTGGAAAACACTGAGCACACTGGAAAAGAGTGACAAATTTTGAGATCATTTCATCCTGAGAAGATTCACTGAATTTCTTGGATCCTGCTTTGGTTCTCAGTTGCCCAACAGCTGGATAGGATTCAGATTCTAAATTGTTTCTTGAAATTGTCTGGTCCCTGGGGGTATCTGATAATTTGTTCAGTGGAGATATTTTGGTATTTGCTGCTTGAATAAATTGAAGTACTATTTCTACACATGACTTCAGTGGCTTTAGTATTTGATAAAACAGTTCGGATGGGGAAGTGAAGAATTTCTGTTTGTTAAAAAGACCCTCACACATGAAAACAAATTGATTGAATATCACCTGTTTCACCTACTGTATGTAGTCTTCTATCCTGTAATCAGCAAAATCTGTAAGACAGTGTTATTTAGGCACTAACATAAAACATAAGCATTTAAAGTAGAAGGGTGGGATGGTTAATTTGCTTAATCAGGGTTCTATTTCTGCTTAATTTTTAAGACAGAAATCACACTCTTTTGAGTTAGGAGGCTTCTGGGTATCAGAATGATAGCCAGCAAACTTTGAACAATTTTCATTACGTTTGTGCATCATACATTTCCTGACGTAATTGTCAACAGCGAGCAGGATTAGACTTTCAGCTTTTTATTCTCTTGAGTGTTGCTTTCCTCTCTTAAATGTAGGAAGGCTAAAAATGTAACATGCCTTTGAAGATTAGACTTCCTTGAGACTTGAGTTTCTGAATTGTATCTGTATCTCTTACTGTATCTTTGTGGGAATTCAGATTTTTCACCCTTACAGTTCTGAAGCCATTTTAAATTCAAATGTATTCTATTTATTAGCAATACGGAGAATAGGAATTGCATTCTTTGTGGTTAAAATATGATTGCTCATTTTTGTTACTCGGAATAAAATGTAGAAGGGTGTGTTTTTTCCTTTTCTCACTGATTTTGGTTCCTGTGGCATGCGTAAAGATGCACATGAATAAACCTTTTTTAAAAAAAATATTTGTACAGTAGCTGTACATTACAGAGAAGTCTGAGGCAGTTTCATAGCTGAGAACATAATTCTCTATATCCCCTTTGAGTAACATGTCCTTTTTTGACATGGCCCTGTGTGCATCCGTGCTTCAGTGTGCAGATAGACCATAGATTCTGCCTCCCTGTAACCCCGAAACCAGGTGTATGAGCCAGCCTGTGCATGGATGCAGTTTAGCTGAGCATAATCCCATCAGTATAAGTTAGCCAGCATGCACCACCACAGGAGTTTGTCTTTATTGCTTCTCAGTCTAGGCCTTTAGACTTTTGTGGTTCTGTGCAGCATTGTGTGGACTGGGGGACTTCCTGGAAGGCATCAAAATACCCAATTTGCTTTTGAGAAGACTTTTTGTTGTAATTTCATGGGATCTATGTGCTAATCTGACTTTGAAGAAGGCAGCTACTGTTACATAGTTTGTGACAGTTGCTTGTAATTAAAATACTGCATATATATATATATATATATATATATATATATATATATATATATATATGAAGCAGTTTATTTTTCAATTGACCACATATTTCTTTAGGCAGCTGTTCTGCTACATGAATAATTAGAACTTTATTTCTTATCCAAAGCCAAGATTTCCAGAGGAGAAATGTCAAAAAGATTTCTGACACTTGTCAGGGCCAGCTATGCAAATTCAGTTATGTTACCATTTTGGGAATGAGAACTGTAAATAATGGCAACCATGGAGATGATGTTTTGTCACTGCAGAGACACTTAAAGTGATGAAAGGCATAATATTACTATGAGGAGATGTCTGATCTACTGCATATAACTATTTTTCCCTTTTCATGAATGAACATTTTCTGTGGGAACTAAACATTAACTGCTTAGCCTCTTGGTTAGAACAATACATCTATTCATTTCTCTTAGTGTTTATAAACTTCTGTGTAGGGGAATACAACCAAACAAATGTGTGCTCTTTCTTTGATACCAGGGTTCAACTCCACCAATGACTGTGTTTAAAGGAAATAAAAGGCCATATCAGAAGGACTGTGTGCTTATTGTCAATCATGACACTGGGGAATATATGCTGGAAAAACTTAATAGCAGCATTCAAGTCAAGAAAACAAGGTAAAGCTGGGGACAGGGCTGTTGACAGGATTATTTCTTGCTGAACTTTCTTCTTCAGACTGTCTTTTTGAACCAGAACTCAGTTTCCTTTTATTTTGTAGTGATGTTTAATTACTAAGCCTTATGGGCTTTACATGGCCAATTATCTTGCCTAAAAATGCAAATAGGAGTGCGAATCCAAGAGTAAAGAATTTGTAAATTCTCCACTGCTGAAAGGACATAATTATAGTTTGCAGTGAAACACCTCTGATGATTTGAAGCCTTGGAAGCTGGCTGAAGGATGGGATGTGTTTCAGGAATCTCTAGTTGGCTGAAAAAGACCATGGAAATAATAGGCTGTCAAAAGGATTGTTAGACTTTCTGGGTTTGTTCCCTACAGCTTCCGCTGGGACTCATGATGTTTTAATAATACAGTCTTAGGCAACAAGAAACACTCATCCCTGTATTAGATCAGTGATATATAAAGTGTAACACAAGTCCAAAGCATCCATCTGGGGCGGGAACTGTAGAAATAATGGTTATGAGGTTTTGCCTAGAAGAATTGCTGAGGCCAGAAATCCTCTCTGACCCAATATTCTCATTTCACTGCACAAATGCTGCAAGTTTTACATTTAAGAAAACCCACTTTATTGCAGTGTAGAACTTTCAGCTGCTAAAACTACTAAAAACATGGGTTGCAGCTCATCAGCAGTTGGCTGGAAGCTTGCCAAGAACACCTTGCGTTCAAAGTAGATGGCCTGTGACACTCCTGTGAATCGCTGATGTGAAAACTCACCCCAGTGGCATTCATCTTATCCAGTGGATATGAGCACGTCCTAGACGAGATTTGAATTCCCAATTTAAGTTCTGCTGGACTTTGTCTAGGTGAAGCTTAAGTCAAAAAGGAGCAAAGAAGTGCAGGAGGGCTTGGATTCAGTGAGGTGTTCGGATCCACTGAGTTTTGCCTCTGGTGAGGTGAAAAATGTTTCAACTTTTCTCAAGCAGAGGCAGGGTAGTAAGATATTGGGGATCCCTGTTTTGAGGAACAGTGCTTTTCAAAGTCATTCCGTTTTCTAGTTCAGAAGTGAGGTTTTTTGGGTTGTTTGGTGTTTTTTTTTTTTCCATGGTTACTTTGGTCTGTAACGACCTGTTGACACTCTGTGGGAGCAGTTGGAGCAGTTTTTAGTGTTAATGTCCTGATGACATCCAAGGGGGAGTAGTTGCACTTTTTCTACATAAAATCTTCCGTGGTTCCAAGAGCATAATTAATACTAGAAACAATCTTTTGCTTTTACCTTTCACTTGGTACAGTGAATGTATTGCCAAGTCCTCACTTCTATTGTAAATGACTGTGTAAGCTGCATTAATGTGGTATTTAATAGCTGCATTTCAGTGATGAACAATGAGGTGGTTCTGTGCTTAATTTTTGAAGTTGCATCTACAATTCAATAAGGCACAGAGATACCTGAGTTAGTGCTAAATGTACTAGCTCAGATACCAGAAGCGGTTTAGGTGAAGTCCAGGCAGGTCCTAACGGGCTAGTTTGTATCTCAGTGGGATTAGTTCATACCCACAAAATGTCACACTGCTGAGATGGGACCCTCCTAGAACCCAAACTGAGCTCTAATACCTGCATAAGCTGCTTCTGTATTGCACTACTTAAAGGCATACCCCCAAAGGCTTTGGTGGTATGTGATAAATACACCACACACTTTAACTTCATTATGGTGTACCGCAGAGGGACAAAATACTTCTCTCGAATAAACATTTTGTTATGTTGTGGGGTTTTTTTTCTACCAAATTATTGACTGTCCTACAATCTCAGTCACATCACTGATTCAGTACAAAGAAGAAATACCTGATTTGAATTTGAACAGCTAGGCATGGTGGTATTCTGGAGACTATTTCCCACTAAGGAAACAGCTTAAACTATTTTTAAGGGACAATAGCAAATGAATGAAAACCAGGAATTAAATGCTTGTATGCTGTATTTAGCAGTAAGAATGATTGCTCTAGTCAGGTTGACCACTAAGAGTTCAAAGTGAGAAAATTGGGGTTTTTTGCTGTGATTGTTTATGTAGGATTTTGTTGGGAGAGGATTTGTTTTATCATGCAGTTACTTTAAATTACTGTGATTGCTTATTCTTTTTTAAAAATACAAATACTAATTGCTAAATTAAAGCCTTCATTGTTCTTCAAGTAGAGAATTTGGCACCACTGAAGCACATTTGGATTTGAAAATACATTTTGTAAGGGTGTTGCAGTGTAGCTGTATATGTTTATTTGTATTGAAAGTAAGTGTTGCATACAGAAAGCTGTAATTCACCATTTATAAAAAAAAGTTGAGTTCCATACAAAAGGAAGTCACAGATGATTCATTAGTACAAGGATACTGAAAAAGATGGACATAGTTGCTCAGTACTGCTGAATGTCTCTGGTTGTTTTTTCAGAGCAGAGGGCAGCAGTAAGATCCAAGCCCGAATAGAACAACAGTCTGCCCGAGCATCTCAGCCTCCTTCACAGTTCAGAGCCCCAACCAAGCCAGCAGCTGGACCTAAAACTTCTCCTTTGAAAGATAATCCTTCTCCTGAGCCTCAGCTGGATGACATTAAAAGAGGTAAAGAAGGGTTTGTAGTTTCTGGAGGTTTCGTTGGTTTTGTCTTTCTTCTTTCTAATAAAAACTATGACTGTGCAATTTATAAAAATGTTAAAGTGTTCAGGGATTAAAAGATGGCACTTGACAGCTGGTTTGTCATCTTTATATCTCGTTGTAAGGCATCTTAGTGAATTATTTATTCTCTTCTGCCAGCATAGATATTTATACTGCAGTCTTCTCTGGCATGAGAGAACTTCCTCTTTCTGGATTATTTTTACTTTTCCAAACTATTTTTCTGTTCTGAAAAGAAGACGAAATAAGCATGAATTCAGAAACCTGTAGCTGAGTGCTAGACAAGTTGAATGGGTGTCTTAGACAACAACAACAAAAGCTAATGGTCCAAGATCTAGTTATGCAATCGGATAACTTGGACAAAAGTTATTCCTGCACTGAGTTAGGTTGGAGCCATTTGCCAGTAGGATGGAAGGGCTGAGTGGCTGTGTTCCCATCACAAGACCTGGAGCTTGTGCCATGCTACATAGTGCTAATTGGGGAGGGATGAGGGTGTGAACAACCCTTCAGCTTCCCCTTTACCACAACCACTTCTCTGCAGCTTTGATCACATATGCCCTATGGTTGCTATACTTTTGTTAAAGTACCTTGAAGGGATGACTGGCTCAGCTCAGTCTCCTGCTCCAGCAATGCTTTGTCTCATTGTTCTGCTGTGGACAGGGCGCACTTTCTTTGTCCATGTCCTTCCTTTCAACTGTTGTGATAACCTGGTTTTGCTGTGGATACCACAGTCAGAATGAGGAAGATTTTAAACTTAGTTTTTTATTTGCTCGTCTTATGTTTCTTGTCTGGCACCAGATGCAATTATTTTAAGATTGCTCTTTCTGTCTAGTGGTTGTGGGGTTTTTTTTCTGAGTCTCTTTTTATTTCTCTTTCTCATGTAGCTATTTTTGCCTGTAAACTTAGCCTATATTAATTGCCCAGACTATGTTAATTACTTAGCAGGGTATTTTTTCAGTTCATGGTAATCACTAGGTGACATTTTTACTGCTAAGCTGTCTGTGTGTTTGCATACGTGCTGATTGGTCTCACTCTTTTTGCAGCAGTAGTATTTTCAATACCTGGATGCTGGTCAACAGACGGAATCATCATCTGAGAGTCTGTTAGCTACAGTTCCCTTAGCTGCATTGCCATTTTTATTTTCTGTAAGGAGAAAGATAACAGGTTTATTTAAAAATTGATTTATTTGTGAATTTTAAATGTCTTTTTCTTGTAGTGTGTAATAAGTTACTTAACCATTGGGGCACTCTTTTGTATACATACAGCGATCTGTAAAGGTCATGTTATAATGTTTGTCTGGCGTGACATCTGTTCTACAAAGATTGTTTTCTATGGTCTGAAATATAAGTCACATTGTTTAGAAATGTCTTAGTAATTTTTTGCCACCTGATCATCTTTTACTGGAAAAGTACCCCCAAATAAATAACCTTTAGAGTTTTGTTTCCAAAATCAAGCAAAAGAACACCTGACTTGTACTAAAAAAATAGGACTTTTAAGTTGGTGTTTTATAGGGATAGTTGTTCAAAGCCCAAAAAGAGAGCAAATCCCTGCACAGGTTCATTTTTGCTTATAGTATATGCTCTCTATAGCTTTTTTCCAGCATTTATTATCTAGAGCATCATCATTACTAAACCATTTATATCATAAGAACCTACTTGGGAAGGGTAGAACTAAAATGGCACCATTCTACAATGAAAATATAAAATGTAACTGTAAAAGCTATGTGATAGTCTTCAGTCCTGTTATCTTCCCTTAATATGTCTTTGTATGAACAAAGGCTTGTAAGTTCTGAAGAGACTGTGTTCTTTCCATTGAAGCAGTAGATTTCCTTCTGGGTGAAGTACCTCATTTGTATGAAAGATAAGCTGAAATTCTGTGTTTTTTCTTTAATGGATGCAGCGCAGACCTTACAATCCCCAAAAGAGGTGGTTGAAAGGATCTCTGGTGCTATGACACTCTCTTTCTCCTAGTGTGCCCTACTTAAGAGTGTGCTAAGACATGCAGCCTTCATGATGTTTAACAATGGCTTTCAGGTAACCTCAGCACAAGTTACTGCTTTCCCCACAGTACCCTCAGCTGTGCATTCCCATAGCTCCCCTTACAGACAAGCTGCGAAACAAACTTTCAGGTAGGTCAGTTTTCTGTCCCATTACACAACTGTCCAAACAGTGGTGCCTGAGGACTGAGTGAGAACCTATGGGAGTTGAGCCAGTCCTTTTCTTCATGCAGAGGCCTTGGGGAGCCTGGGTCTAGGGTCCTGCGGCAGAGGAATCTTTTTCCCTGCAAGCTTTTATATTGTCCTCCTGCATGAAGGGAGCAAAAGAGAGGGTAAGAGCTTGTTCTTTTGAATTCTTGGCTACATCTGATAACATTTCATTAAGCGGTGAACATTTGCAAACATCTACCGCAATACAGCCATTTATGTGCCTGAAATGATCAGCATTTATCAGACCTATTTGACCACAACAGAAATGTTTTCAGTAATGTTGACATAATTACAGCATGCTGTACTTGGGAAAAAAAACACAGAAACATATTTCTGGTTTGGAGACTGTAAATTCAGTGCTTAAAAATCTGAGCAGATCTTGTTTACCTAAAATGCAGCTGTAGCATGTAAGGATTATGCCATAGTACTGCGTTTGTCTCTTAAGAACACCTCAATCAAATTTTTTACACTTCAATGTAAAACGCTGCCGTCTTTGCATGCTCAAAGTGCCAGCATCAAGTTTATTTTGCTCCACCTTGCATACCGTTATTAACAGTAAGCATTCTGCTATAGACATGCAATCTTATCCTTCCTAAAGCTGAATTACTTTATTTCCAAAAGTTCTTGGTATTCTTGCAGCCCAAGGTTAGGGTATTAGTTAAAATTCTGCATAGCCTATGGGAATTGAGAGAAGCAGTAAGAACCCTTAGACATGATTATGGAAAGAAATTAGGGCATTTGATACTGAATATATACAGAAGACAGCCCTGTTGAGAAGGACTGTTCTGTTTGTATGATTTCTGACCTTGGGTGTTTTGTTTTTTTTACTCTAAAAACTGCTAGTGTAAAACAATAAGCCATTGTTTTCTTGAAAGAAAGCCTACAGTTGTAACATTGAATGTGCACAAGTTAAGGTTCCCCTAGCAATGTCAGCCTTTTTAGATGATCTAGACTCAGTTAAGGCCAGTGTTCAAAACTGTGCTGTATGGAAAGCTTCTTTAAAAGTAACTGCTGCACATCCTAACGCTTGTCATCTTTTAAACCTTAAAGGTGCATCAACATGAAGCATTTGATCTTACCGTACAAAGATCTAGGAAATGTCTGACTCTTTCATTGTACACATATACACACAGCTACATTAATTGGAGGCACCACAAGGAAATGTTTAGCCAAGGCTTCAGTACCTAGAACTTCACTAAGCGTAACAGTCAAATAGGAAAATGCAAAATTGGATGGTTTTAAAGCAGATTCATTTTTCCTGCAAGGCTTTGGTGACATCGTTGGCTTAGCCACCATCTTTGACAGTGTGGCACAAGAGAGTTTTGAACAGACTTCCTTAGTGGTCCTCATGGAGGTCTGCCTGGCAGACTTCTAGCGATGCAGCAGCCACCATAACATTAGTGTCAACTGTTACTTTTTTCTCATCTGCACAGATGAGATGTTTAGACTTTTGGGCTCAAGGAATTAAGAGACAAGAGAGACCTGTGGGGAGCTGACAGTCTGTGAGGCAAAAGTTGACTAGAAGATGGCTCAGACCATGTTTCCACCCATGACCATTGTCACTGGTAACACCCTTAACTTCCCAGTCCATGAAGCTTGTGATATTGGCTCTGTTTTGCTTTTCTTGCCTGTATTCAGCATAGTGGGCCTTAGCACTTCTTCCAAGGCATTGTCTCTTCCCCTCCTCATAACCAAAGCTCTTCTATGGGCTCTTAGTTTTCTGCTTTCTCAGCAGAAAACCCTCACTTTTCGATCAGACACTAATCTCTAATTCTGTTTAAAATTAGCCAGGCTGATCTTCCTTTCCTCTTCATCAGGCTGCATCACTTCCTTCAGTTATCTCCTCACCTACTGTATCAAGTTCAAACTTCTTGTTTATTTTTTTTTCTCTAGTTCTTTGGAGTGCATTTCTTGTTGTGTCTTTTCCCTTTCACCGCCAATGCCTCTTAGATTACTTCACCTTCTTCACACTATTTTATATGATGCTTTCTGGGCTGCTGTGTTCTTCTCAGCCTGTGTGCCATCACTCCATCTCAGCCATAGACTCTCTAGCTCTGTAAGCGTACGTGTGTAATTCTCAGACACTTGTCCTTTATTAGCACTGTTTATTGAATCTTTTTTGCAATATGAACTGTGGTCTGTAGGTGATTGTACTTACTACAATCCAGGATATTCTAAACAATGTATTATTATCATCACTATAACTTACAACAACTCCATCACTAGAAGTATGTGGAAATTTTACATCATTAAACTAGGGAGAAAAAAAATTAAATCTGAGCATTTTAAAGAGAAAGAACCTTTATTCCTGTTTATCTTTCCTTTAGCTTTCCCCTGTGAATATCTTAGCCTTGAACACAGGGTACATTTACAATATGAAGTCCTTGATATGGGTGGACTGAGAACAGTGACTTACAAGTGTTCATTTGTCTGTGTATCAGATTCCAGGTGTGAAATGGATTTTTAAAGCCTGCACAACTGTGTTGAGAAGAGAGTTACAGTACAAAGTAACATCTTCTGTTGGCCTAATCATATATTCTTTCTCCCTCTTCCAATGGTCTCTCATACTGTGTCTTCAAGATGAATGAGTAAGATTTACCTGGCATACTAATAAAGTCCAGAGAGCACGGGTGGTCTAGTCAGGGATCTAGATTTAGGAAGTAAGTTGAGTGAACAGCCCCACTATCCTTAAATACCCAGCTGGAGTTAGTCATAGGGTTGTTCCCTTTCAATGCACCTTCCTTGCCTCTGATTCAGTATAACTATAGCAGTTGAAATTGAGCTCTTAACTTTGAAATTGAAAAACATCAGTTTTAAAACTGGCAAAAACCCCCTTAATTTCTCAAACCAGTACATGCTGATCTAGAGGAGCTCTCTCCAGCAAATAATGTGGTAGTGTTAAGTAGCTCAAGGAAAATGGGTCTTAAATGAGTCAAGGAAAATGGGAAGAGTTCCAGTTGCTAAGACTTACTCCTGCAGGGCCTGAAGATAATAAGCATTAAAATTGTGCCATTTTTACATAAAGATTCATTTTACATGATCTAGCTGTGCCATAGACAAGAAGGATGTCCTCAGCTGAGGAGCTGGGATTCATCTCATTTTGACACACATCTGACCTAAGGTGAATCACTTCTGGCATCAGCTCTTACTTGTCAGGTAGAGATGACAATACCTCATCTCTCCCTTCTTTCATTCTTGTCCTTTTAGCCTGTGACTTCTCCAGGGCAAGCACTGACTTCTAACCCTGTGGGTATAAAACTGCTAACCCAACAAAAGCCTAATTTTTGAGGATTTTACATCCTGTATTTAACATATGTGTGAATATTCTTCTCTTGTGGAAACCTGCCTAGGTGAACTGAGTTATTAGATATTTGACTTTGTGGGTGGATACAAAAGAATTGTCTTCTAATAGTGTTTAGGCCACTTATTATGACAAATCATTTGAGGTGACTTACCTTAATAACTGTTTAGTAACCAGTCATTCAGCCAACACTAGCTGTTGCTGATGTGACTGTCATGGTGCTGTCATGGTATTACAGTGTTTCTTTGCACTGGAAACCCTCAAGTTGGGTGTGTCTGACTTGAATAACCTCCCAGTTTCAGAGTAGTCCCTGTATTTTCCTGACTACTTGTAAGCTCTATAGCAGATTAACGTATTACTACCACTCCCCAGCATGTGAATATTCTATCTGCCCCACTGCAAAGTTATCTGATGTCATCCATCTGCTTCTGAAGTTTGTTCAAAATTAGTTGTGTGGCTTTGCACTGGAGCAGTTTCATACACTATCTGAAGTCAAGGCAGTTTCTGTTGTGATCATGTGCCTGTGCCCACCCCCACCCCACCCGCCCTTTTTGTGTTTTCCAGAAGCCTAAATGTCACTGACACCTACCAATTTAGATTCCTACACGTTAAGATGTTTTTTAAAAATGGGCCTGTAAAAATCAGGCATGTACTTACTTAGTTTGTAAACATATAACCTGTTAAAAATAATGAAGCAGGAAGTGTTTTTGGGATTGTAAAGTATATGAAAATAGTGTAAGTGAAGGTTTTATGATACTAACCTATGCTGTTGCTTCTTTAAATTTATCTACAACAACTAAGTAAAAAATTTTCAGAATTTTTTTGTTTTCCTTCCTGTCTCTTTCATGTGAGATATTTTGATGTGATAAATTATATTTGAGAAAACTATTGCATTTTCACATTTTTTCAAAATTCCATGGGCCCCTGTTTATGGTTTCAACCAGATGAATGTCCTTTTATTTCAGAGCTCAGAGCAGAGGTTGAAATTATTGAGCAGATGAGCAGCAGCAGTGGAAGCAGCTCATCGGATTCAGAAAACTCATCTGGGAGCGAAGATGAAAGCTCCAGCAGTGAGGGGGAAGAGCCAGCACATGTTTCCCCTTCCCAGCCACCGCACCAGCAGTATAACAACAGGAATGCTGTCGCTAATGGCACCAGCAGGCCACAAGGAAGCAATCAGCTCATGAACACGCTCCGTAAGTAAAGGCTTGTGTCTTATTGCTGTGGGAAGACCACTCATTTTCTTAGCATGTTAGGTTAACTTCATGAAGTGCAGTTTGCAATCCCGGGGAGCTGGGCTGGCTGAAGTACGTGGACAGGTTTTTTGAACAGAGGTCCAAGACCTGTCTGAAGGGGTGGAGATTGCTTCAGGTTGGTTTAGAGCCTATGGGCATCAGCGCAATGCCCCCCATTGACTGTGCTGAGCCTGGATTCAGGCCTCTGCATGGAGTGAGTAGGTAGAAAAGCATCTGTGTGGGAGAATCCGGTGCACCAGAGGATGGGAATTATTTTAATGTGAAAACACAGATTAGACATAAGTGGTGGGGATGTGTCAGTTAAAGGTCTGTAAAGCATTGTGAATGGTACCAAGGCTGTCCTGTGCTCATAAATGCATGGTCTCTGGAGTCTTTGTTGTTAGCTGTATTGCATTGTCAGAGTATTTACTTTATACTGTGTTGGTCACAGCTGCATTTTCATGAATACCACACTTTGAAGGGAAATTTGAAGTGTCATGTATTTGGTTAAAATATTAGAGCTATGGTGTTTGCATGCATTGAATCAATACAAATTCAATCCACCCTTTAGAAAAGTGTAAAAAAAAAATATATTTTTAAAGCACAGTTTTGTCCCGTGAGACTTTCTCTGGGGAGATGTACATCTGTGTTGCCCTTTCCTTACGCTAGATCAGGTATATTCTAACTCAGTGGAGTTAAAATAGTGCATTTACAGGAAACTAGAACTTAGTTGCCATAAACTGTTCTTAATTCCTCCTGAGGCATGTTTGCGTACATCTCTTGGCACCCACACACTGGGAACTGGTGGAGTTTAAATACAGATAAATGTAGAGTTTCCAGCTTCAGGAAGATAAGTATATTATACAGACAACAGTGAAAAGGCCTGCTGTGGAAAACTGGAAAGGCCTGTCAGTAATTAATTGTCTAGGTGAAATCCAAAGTTAACAAAGTCAGTAGGAATCTTTCCATTTCCCTGTTTCTGATTATGAGCTCCTCTTCCCTGCTTCTCCTGGGCCATGTTAACAGGAGGTCATGGAATTTCCAGAAGCCTCTGACTCCAGGAGAATTTGGGAACTCATAGGGTAGCTCCTTTTTTCAGGCAGTGATTTTTGCCTTTGGATTTAAAATCCTTTTGCCAAGGATTAATAAATATGTCCTTGAGCATTCAAGTCATTGGTGACCATCTACATAGGGAGAGTCACCCCTAACCCAAGTTCTTGTTTCACAGAAAGGGAGAGGACATGAAGAAATCAGGGTATAGCCATTGTGTAGCTGCTCAGCAGCTATTTGGGACAGGCCTGTGGGAGAACGCTGGAAGAGCTAGGTTCAGTTATCAGAACATAGGCGTGATTCTTTTGCCCTCTTTTATGCCCTCCACCTGCCCAAATCACAAGTGCCCTGCAAAACAAGGTCTGAGACTGTGGGTTCCATCCATATCCTGGTCTTCTTTTGTCTGTTCTCTCTTTGCACTTTGCAGGGGGGCCTTCACCATCACAGCATTTGTCAGCTTAGTTCAGACGATAGCCTGGAGTTGTGATGGCTTTAACATTCCTTTTGGTTTATTGACATGTGGAGGCCTTGCCTTGCCTACTCAAATGGCCTTAAGACAAAAAAAAATAAAATTTTAAAGGGGCCGAGAAAACCAGGGGATTCACCAGTGCCTTGTCCCAGAGCTATACAGGGGAGCTTGGCTGTGTGGAGCAGCTGCTAGCGTGGGTGTGCTGTTCTCCCACCAGGGAGCAGCTTTGGTGGCTGTGGAACCACGGACACTCGGTTTGGTTTGGCCTGGAGCTGACTGTAGTGTTCTTGGGTATGGAGAGGTCCATTAAATGACAGATAATGTTTGCATTAATTTATTGTGTAACTCTTATTTAAATCTTCCAGCATAAATGTGACTGTTGTTTGGTTTGATTGCCACGAAATGTGAATTAACACCTACTCACTTATTGTGTTTTGTTGGGTTTTTTTTTCCATAGGAAATGACTTGCAGTTGAGTGAGTCTGGGAGCGACAGTGATGACTAGAGGCTGAGCTTTTACTGTTTCTGTTACATATACATGAAGAACTAATTTACCTTGAAGTGATCCTGTTGCTTATGAAGAGGAGCTGGCACAAACATAGTTCCACGTGTGGAATTTCAGTAGAAGAAATGCATAGACCTACAAAATAGCAGATGTTGAGGGCTCTTTTACTTTGTGAATTAAGTGTATATTTTGTGTATATTCTTATTCTTCCAAAACTTAAATAGATATGTACAGTGGTAAGCCAATATATCTCCCTATGTTCCTGTCCGTCATTTGTAAGTTTAATGTGTAACTATATGATGTCATCTAAAAATGTCTTGTTTGTAGAAGATATTCAGCCCTTCATGACTTCAGGGGGGGGCTTTTGTATATAGGGTGAGCATGAGCCAACAATGAGTTTAAAAAAACATGCAGGAGCTAGTGTGTGTACTGAAGTAGGACTGTTGTAAACTAAGTTTCAATACTAAGTGGATTGATTTGAGACTTTTCTAATGTTGTTTTATTGCTATTTATGGTTGATTTAATGGATTTACTTTTAAACAGTTGGAAAATAGAAATCATAAAACCATGTTCATCACAAACCTTGCTGCACCAGTGCCTTATAAGCAGGTTTTTTAAACAGCCCTTCCATTCCTACCACCTTTCCTATAGGGAGCAATACTGAAACCTCCTTGGATTACTTTTGCAAACAGGAGCTGTATTTCACATACAGCCAGATGTACTCTAAGGGCAGTTGCTCTAGCAAGAAAAAGGATATATGTCAGTCACCTGAACGCATCCAAATTAGAACCAGATCAGCGTTTTCTCTTGCAACTAAGTGTCTCATTTAACTCATTCAGACCTAGTCTTCAGAAATACTTAGGAGCCCAATTACCAATGAAATTGCAGTGTCAGAAACACAAGATATTGGACTTACTGAAATTGTAAGACCAGAGCCTTCTTTGCAGTTTCCTAGAGAATGCAGGAAGAAGAGATAACTAAACAATTAACTGTGAAACACCAGAAGTCTCTCTCCTACCACAGTTGTCCAGGTAGACTTTAGTCCATATTATTTGTTGGATGGGATCTCTGTGCTTGGCAGGAGTACACAGAACGTGAAATATTTGCCTAGAATGAAATTCACCCCTGTTTAAGGGGGTTTAAAGGGTGCTTAGTTAGATTATCATTAACTTTTTTTGCTCATGTGGAAAATGAGTGCCATAGGCAGCCTCTTACAGCTTGAACAGCAGTCTTGACTTTTTAAAACCAAAACTCAACTGGCATAGGACAAGTGGCACCATAGTGGTGGTGTAATCCAGGGCAATGGGAAGCTGAACAGGATGTCTCTCCATTCTTGAGTGTCTGCTTTGCACTGCTTTTGTCTGTCTGTTAGTTTGTGGTTTTACTCCTATTTGTTTACTGAGCTCTTTATTTTTTAAGGTGTTGAAGAGCAAAGGGGACATTTGAAGGGAGATTTTATTAAATGGTTTATTTTTTTGCATTAGATACATATTCAGGCATATTTTTGCATTGTTGTACATACATTTAAAAATACTTGGTTTTTTTAAAAGTGTTTTGTGATGTGGGTACATATTTTAACAGACAATTTTGAAATATATTTGATGTAAAGCCACAACTGCTCTCTTTTTTTCTCCCCCTCCCCCTTCCCCCAACAGTGAAAGTGCTCTGTTTGATCCAGCATGTACCAATTTGGGATTTTACACTTTGGTGCGACATGTCATAGGAAGTTTACTATCTGTGTGTAAATAAAATATATGAAACTGAAGAGGATAAGACAACACCAGACTACATTGATTTGAATCGCCAATTATTGTTTAGATCCGCAAGTGGGAAAGCTTCATTAAGATAATCAATTTCTGCGTTGTTTTGTATTTGTCCTCCAGGTCATGTTGCCCTGCTATCCCTCCCTAAAAGATTTCTTCCCCTCCCTGTTTTTTGGTGACCAAATCAACAAATTTTCACACAACCACACCATGTTTAAACCACGTTGGGCCATCCTTTGTATCCCCTGGAGATACATCATATCAAGGGTGGCCAGGCTGTTGGTCGTGAGCTGCATAGCTGCACATCAGACTACAGCACCTGGCTGCCTGCGGGGCTGATGAGTAACAGGGTGGCCCACAGCCTGCCTGCGGGCATAAGGAGGCCAGTCCCTACGCGTGTGTGACCAGCCTGTCCTCTCCCTGCCACTGTGTCCTCAGCAGCTCCCGGCAGCTCCTGCCTGAGAAGCTCTCTGGGATCTCCACCCTTCCCACAGCAATCGGACGTGTTTTGTGAGAGTGAACCATGTAGAGACTTCAGCAGGCAACTTGTAAGTGGTAAGAAAGGGTGGCTGCTGCTTTTTTTTCCTTTTTCTAAATACACACGAGTGTGTTTTAAAGCCATTGCCAGCCTGACATTTTGATTGGGGCTCTTAAAATTTTATGTTTCATACATTAAGAAGTAGTAAACGTTGTCTATCTGCTCCTATTAGATGGTTGTTTATTTGTTCATGATTTGCGGCAAGTTTTATTCAGAAGGAAATTGAAACTCAAATTTCTTTCAGAAAAGTGGTCATTTAGAATTCTTTTAATTAGTTGGCAATATCTTTAACATGTTCATCTCTGGGCCTCCCAACATAAGAAAGACATGGACCTGTTGGAGCGAGTCCAGAGGAGGCCACAAAGATGATCAGGGGCTGGAGCCCCTCTCCTATGAGGACAGGCTGAGAGAGTTGGGGTTGTTCAGCCTGGAGAAGGGAAGGCTCTGGGGAGACCTTATAGTGGCCTTCCAGTACTTAAAGGGGCTACAGGAAAGATGGGGAGGGGCTCTATATCAGGGAGTGTAGGGATAGGATATGGGGTGATGGTTCTAAACTGAGGGAGGGTAGATTTAGATTAGATATAAGGAAGAAATTCTTCCCTGTGAGGATGGTGAGACCCTGGCACAGGTTTCCCAGAGAAGCTGTGGCTGCCCCTCCCTGGCAGTGTTCAAGGCCAGGTTGGACGGGGCTTTGAGCAACCTGGGCTAGTGGAAGGTGTCCCTGCCCATGGCAGGGGGTTGGAACTGGATGGTCTCTAAGGTCCCAACCCAAACCATTTGGTGATTCTATGCTGGAGAAATAAGTTGACTAAAGTATATTTTGATTAAACTTATTAAAGAAACATAGTATTCCTGATTATTCCTGGAAGATTCTAATCCTGCAAGATTTTAGCACAAGCAGATCTTACCACCTTATGCTAATTTTTCTGCTAACTTTTCCACATAAAGTAGGAAGATCTTTTGTATACCAATTAGTTTAAATGTGATTAGCTGCATATGGAATGCAATTATCTGAATGAATTGAAGCAGAGTAAATATTTCTTTGCATTGGTGGGAGAGCTGCCTGCCGGCTATGGCAAGGTTAGCAGTTCAAGACAGCTGTGGTTTCTCATGGTTTCTTCTCTTCAGTGACTTCATCCATTTCAGTGGTTTGACTTTCCTTGAAACTTCACCAGCAAGCATGGCCTGCTCATGACCTTTCCCATAACTAGAATTGCTTTAGGAGTAATAATAATGATTTAAAACTAATTCAATTAGATTGTCACAATTTCAAATATTGTTGCGAATTTTTTTTTAATACAAAGGCTTGGTTTCCAAAGGGGCAAATTCAGTCACCCGCTTGTCCATGTTGGCCACCTTAAAATACAATTACAGCAATGCCCAAGCTGTGTTTCAGATTTTAGTCATGTGCAGAAAAGCTTCCACCCACCTCTGCCCTTATTCCAGCCTGGAGGGAGGGCTTACCAGCCCTAGGAGCAGGCATGGCTTGACTCACCCCAGCTAAACCACAGGCATGGTCACCTCCAGGTGAAAGGTGTCCCAGTCCCCTGCTAAGAGTCACACCACCCGTTTATAAGAACATGCCGCACTACCCTTTCTTGTTCCAGCAAAGCATCCCCCTCCTGTCATGAGTCTTGGCTGAACCGATTTTGTTGAGAAGGCAGACTGATAGGAAAATGTTTGTTTTCTTCAGCATTGCTCGGAATAGCTCAAAACTTAACTGTGGGTAGTACATCTGTTTTGAAGATACTGTGCCTAAGTAGATTTGCACAGTTTGCTTTATTATAGACTAGCTATGTGCCTGTTTACAGCTATGTATAGAAACAGTTTGCTGTGCAAAGCTTTATAGTCTCTTTTTCCTCCTTCAAAGTCCATTTATTTGAATAAAAAAGAATGAAGTTCAACAATCCATGAATGTGGTGGTTTTTTCTTTTTATTTTTTTTATAATTTAGAAACTAAGTGAAATGTAGCCTGAAATTACTTGTAATGGAGAACACTTATTTTCAGTAATTGCCTGTGCTTCATTGTTCAGTGTGCTATGCATTTCCTGCTAGCCACTGAGTCAGAGAACCTATGGAAAATACAGCTGCCCAGCGATGGGCGTCTTGATGGGATGAAAGCTTCTGCTGGTAACTCTGAGGGTCTCAGGTTCAGCTCCTAACGATGAATGGCAACGTCTTGAATCTACCTGGTAATTTACAGGGTTTTTTATACACACACAAATACATGTAATACCAAAGAAAAAAGAGCATTGCTGATGTTTGCCTTAAAAACAAAAGCTGCGATGTTGGGCAATGGCTGGGACAGACTGAACTTCAAGTAGTTGATTGTTATGTGTATCGCACACCCAAACCCTGTTCTCAGAAGATAAGCTGATTAACAAACTAATAGTTAGTTAGCTGATAACTACCTCTGGTTTATGTGAGAAGGGTGTGTATATAAATTGAAAGGTATCTCTTTAGCTATTTCTTCCTATTCCCACTGCTTATACTCCCTTCCTTTCTTTTGTAATTTCATTATTTGTAGCATATGTATGCTTTCTGCTGCCAAAGTCCTGCAGGAATTTACAGGAAAGGGGGTGGTTATTGAAATGTTATAAGTGCATTAACTGGGTGACTTGTTCTAAATTTATTGTAAATGACAAGGACCTTGTGAATGGACCCATCTTCCTCCCCCTCCTTGGCTCCACCTTTATTGGGACTGAACAGTATTCCTTTGGACAACAGAGAAAGAAAGGGCAAAAGATGTGAGAGGGTGAAAGACCTCAAGCTGCTACTGCCTACATTGAGGATGCTCTCTGGCAGAGCCACGGCCTGAGCAACCCTGACTTGTTCTTGTACGTCACTGTAAAAAAAAACACAAAATTCATTGCTACCATTGTCCTGTGGCTGGGAGAAGTGGGATTTGGAGAAAAAGTAGGTTACAAATACCTTGCTAAAGGTATTTACGCGAGAGTTTTGGTGAGATGTTTGGCCCTGCTAAGGTTCACTTGGCTCTGCCAGTGAGTTTTCGTGTGCGCTGTGCATAGTGGGGGTACCCATGTCTCCCTTTTTGGGCAGATGCTGGTGAAATCAGAGGCTGGAGCAAAGCTGACATGTTTTTTTGTTTTTTTACTATGTGCTATTTGATTTAGTTGAACTGTGTATTTTAAAAACGGCACTGACAAGTTAAATGAGACAACTGATAGGATATCTCAGAAGGAATCATATGAATTTGACTTGAAATCCCAGAGAGTCCGTAGGTTCTGGTACATCTGCCAGTGATTTTAATTCCTCTGAACTTTTGTAAAAAGAGGGCTTTCTGAAGGGCAGAGAGTAAAAATACAGAAATTATCATATTGAAGGTTTTGCATGAAAATTTTGACCTGTGTTTCTTCCCAGACCAGCTAGCTTTGTTGTAGGACTCTGTGTGAAAACCTTTGAGGCACGCTTGTACAGGATATGGTCTGAAGGAAAACGTTCTGTGCGTGTTGCAAGTAAGATATAATTGTTCACGTCTTTGCAATCCCAGCCAGCCCGTAAATTCTGCCATCACCTCTTTGTAACTTGGGAGTTGGCTTTTTCCTCTGTAGCTCTGATACCTTCATAACATTTTCCTACTGCCAGACATTATAATCACTAACAAAAATAAACAGGCATCTGCTCAGGAAAACAGCTATCAAATACTTCAGTGAGCTGCAGGGGTTTTACTCCAATGCTTCAAGTCTCAGGATTGTGATAGTTTGCTAGGAACAGAGCCTGTGATATGAGACCTGGACACTCATCACACGTAACAAAGGTGGCCAAAACTTTGTAAGCGTATGGGATGCATACCAAAATTTTCAGTTACGCCAGAGCCACGGGCTGTGCCCCGTGCGCGTTGGGAAGCTAACTGGGAGGAGAGGTTTGGGAGTGCTTGGCACAGAGGAGATGACAGCAAGGCGGTTGATGGGACTGGGGTGCAGGGGCCATGAAGGTGAGAAGCCGGCCACAGGATCTCATCAGCCAGGTCACACCATAGCCCTGTAGCAGCCCAGCACAACCAGTGTGAGAGGTCACTGGCATGGGGAAGAGGCTTTGACTGCCCTGAGAGATGCTGGTAGTTGTCACCCTGTCTTTCATGATGTAAGAAATATACTTAGATACACAATCATTGCGTAATTAGAAAAAAGACCTGGGTGCTTGGGTTTGGATGGTGGAGAGCAAAGGCAGGAGGGAAGAGTAGGGATGGGGACCATGCAGCAGCAGCAGGCTCTGGTTGTTCCTTGCTCTTTTCAAAGAGGAGCTAATGGGTCTTAAGAGAGACCACCAATTCCCACTGGGAGAAAAAATACTGG